TGAGACCAAGAGCTGGAGCGGACCACAGGTTCGTGCTCGCTTAAATTGGATCCCGGCTCAGCTTGCTGTTCCAGCAGCATGTCCCTGCTGACGACTCCACAAAACTATCTCAAATGTTTGACAGCATGCCAAGGGTTTAGAAATAATTTGGAGACCAGCAGAATTTTTTAAAGATTTTGGGAACTCTTGTAATACTGAAACTCTGTAAATTAAAAAGAACTTTTCCTCCAACCATCTTTCATCCGTGTTCATAACGATATGATTGGAGGTTTTTTTTTTTTTAATCCAGTGGATACATATTTTGGAAGCAGTTGGCAAGCCTGTGGTATGGAAGGTGGGAAGAGCGCTTGGCTGAGTCTGGCCTTGTCAGCTGCCACGAACAGCAGGCATCCGGAGGTCCCAGGGCTTCTCTTCCGCACACTGCCATCGCTGGGCAGAGGAGTATGTTCACTTCCTTCTCAGGCAGGGGGCTTTGTGAGTGGGCCACTTGGTCGCACAACGGCCCCGTCCAAAATGAGGAGGTGCCAACAGGAGTGCGGTGGCTGCAGTCTCTGGTTCTGGGGGCAGGTCTGCCAGCATTTAGCTGCCTGCCATAGTGCAGTGGGGAGCGCCATGCCAGAGCAGGCTACGGAGAAGGTGGGGGAGGGCTGGAGTCAGTGGTCGGGCATCTGCTTTGCAGGCAAAAGGCCCTGAGTGCAGACTGCAGACAGGGCTGGGAGAACCCCTGCCTGAAACCCAGGGGCGGCTGTCATCAAATACGTAGAAAGCATTGACTCAAAAGGACTCTTAAGTGGGGCATAAAGCAGCTTCCTGCAAGACAAAACTACATTATAACCTTAAAAAACAGGAACTTGAGGGAAATGCATCTCTATTCCTGAACAAAAGCAGAGTATTATTCTCACTGAAATAGGTTTTGGGTGGTCTCTCCCATCCGTCTTTCCCTGAATGGGCAATCTGCAGCTTTCCAGGCATTTTTGCCCTACAGCTCCCAATAACTCTCACCAAAGGCTGGCCATCCTCTCCAGCCCAACCCAATTTGCCAACTTCTGCACTACACACTGGCTTTGGGAGTAACAGATACAGAATAATTTTGTGAAGATTGTTGCTTTCAGAATGCCAGACTGGTTTCCAATCAAAATTCCTTGAAAATTATGGAAATTGAAAACATTCATCTTGCAGTTACACTGTGAACCATTTTGGGAGTCCTTTATGAGACAACTAAGGCAGTTATAACATTAAGAATGAAAAAAAAGAATGATTTTTGTTATCAGTGTTCTTAGACCTAAAAGATGTAGACTTTGCTATTATCCATAAAAATGGTTAGCAGCCATAGGCAAACCTAGGCTCTTTGGTCCTAATTTACAAGAGGGACTTTTTTATTAGTAAACAGTTGGATTTGTCTGGAGAGGTTGCACATGCAAATCAGCATCCCAGTTTTGCAAGAATGGTTCCACTTGCTAACCATCTGCCAATCTGCATGTAATGTAATTCAGTCTGTTCCCAGCCGCAAAGCATTGTTGTTCGTAATTACTGCCAGCTCTGCTGGTGAGCAAGGGAAAGGAGGCAAGGGAGAGAAAGTTTTGGAGTTCAGCCTCTCACTTCCCCGCAGTTCTCTTCAGAGGGTGCATTTTTGGGAGTTCTCCTCCCCCTCTGCAAACATTTCACAAAGCTGGCTGTGAAAAAAGGACCTGACCCAGGAGCAATTCTAGCCGAATCTGCGTGTGAAAAAAATTGGCTGCTGAGGGAGCTAGGGAGCTAGCTAGTCACGCAGGCCAAGGCTGTAAATCCTGGAGCTGAGCGGTGTTTACCACTTTCATTTCCTTTATCTCCCAGCTTCTGTCACGCACTCCCAAAGTAGCAAGGCCAGGAAAAAGGGAGAGAACTACGGACAGGAGTGGATGGTTCTGGAGCGTGTAAGAACTGTGCTGCACATATTATCAGTGGGATTTTAAATGGTAGCACTTCTTTCAGAGCAGAAATTTGGGGATTTGTGACCTGTCGTACAATATAGGATTGCATTTAATGTGCAACTTTCTGGAGTCCGTGGTGGCGTACAGGCCACATTAATGCATGTAGCTTACAATAAGGTGCCTCTCTCTACCGAAATCTCAAGATGCTGCAGCATGGGTGTACATCACCTGGCTAGGCGAGAAACAGGTGAGAAGGACCCACAAGGTTGGTTCCACCCATGTCCTTTTAGTATTCATATATTTTCTGGGACACCTATGTAGGTAGGAGATGTGGTTTTCATACCACTACAGATATGTGTGGATGGGGAGTTGGGGTGCACGTCGTAAGAAAGTTGAACCTTAGAAGATCCATGCTGGATCACACAGTGCCCAACCAGATGACTCTGGAAATCCCATCTCGTGCTTACTTGAGATAATTTACCTAAGCACTGTATGAGGACGCAATACTTAATCCTCTACCATGCAGCTTCAGGGGCTGACCCCACGTGCTAGAATCCATTTTCTCCTTATTATGGATAATTTTATAGACCTCCATCATGTCTAATTTTCTGCATCATTTGTGTAAGCTAAAGAGCTATTGTTGCTTGTTTGCTTGAACCTCATCAACAAGAAACTTGTTCAGTTTCTTTCTGTCAGTAGCATGTTGTGGTTTTTCAGGGTTGGCCCAAGACATGTTGCTACCTGGGACAAAGGACAAGAGAACATCTCAAGTTCCATACACAAGCCATGAAGCCTATTAATTAAAAAATATTTTCTGCATTGATCATGGAACAGCATCCTCTGTTGATGTTGAGGGCAGCAAGCTAGCATAGGAGTTTGCATGTTCCATTTTCGACTCCACAACATCTATCAACTAAAGCAGCTGCCTCTACCTAATGGTAGGGCTGACTTTGTTAATTTATTTAGCTTGATCCCTGGAGTCTGGTGGTTGGCTTCTCTTTTCTAGCAAAAAAATGTAGCGGATCAAAATGCAGTTGATCATCTTCAGGACTGAAAAGAGCCTCATATATGAATTCTTCTGTGAATGACAGGGAGTTGTGGCATTCTGTAGATCCCCTACAAGGCCTTGGCTCCCAGCAGTCACTGGGTTGGGGTGCAGTCTTAAAACTCCCAGCACTCTGCAGCCAGCATGAAATGTTGGGATTTGAAGGATTTTTTTTTCTGTCTAAATATGTATAGGATTATATCCTAAGCTTTTCAGCCCATCCACAAGAGTTCAGGCATTGCCTAACCTCTCCCAAATTGAAACAAAACCTGCTATTCCTTATTGAGCCATAGGAAGCAGGAGGACTCACCTTTTATGTACTCGACTGCGTAAATGAAATACAGCACGTGGAGTGGGAGAGGCTTTTCAGAGCTGTCCTTCTGTCTGCTTCTCCAAGGCTGATCTTTAACAACCAATATTAATGATTCTGGATTTCGATGATAAATTTCTGAGCACTAGGTCATGTCTGAAGCCAGGAAGGAGCCTTTTAAAATATATTCTTTTCCAGCACACATGGCTTTAATTTGCTGTTTTTGTTTTTTTTTCCTCTTTAAGAGGCGCGATATGCCTGACAAATGTACCTCCCACCACACACTCATCTGTGGCTGCCTCAGAGAGTGAAAAACCTATATAACATAGCAAAGTTGTGACCTGGGCTTGCTTACCCCCCAAAACTCTTCCTGTTCTTTGCTAAGTGACCCGAGTGTAGATTGTACTGTGAGGGCGAATGGGCTGCTGCTTTAAGAGCTGCCTGGTTCTATCGCATTCACACTGGAGGCATAGCAGGGTGCAGGATCAAGGAACACAGATGTGATCCAGCACCTTTCTATCCACATCTTTAGCTTGTCAGCTCATGAAGTCAGGTTGGCAGAGACATTGTGCATTATCTTTTTAAATCTCAGGTAGGCTTTGTTATTCTTTTAAACATGCAAAGGTGGGAAGAATTTCAGCGGCATTTCAGTGATTAGCTTCAGATGTCATGAGTGGAGCTGGCTGTCTCTAGGGGTCAGACTAGATGGCCCGGGAGACCCCTTCTGTTTCTATGTTTCTAAATCTCAGAGGGAGAGCTGAACACAGAAGCAGGGTTACTGTATACACAAGATTAGAACTGTGTTTTAACCTCCTTAGGACAACCTTTCCCAACCTGTGCCCTCAAGTGATGGACTACATCGTCCACCACCCCATCAGCAGGGGCAGGGGTTAGGGTGATGGAACTTGTAGTCCAGCTCAGCCAGCAGACAGCAGCTTCAGGCAGACGGTCCTATCAGCAGGCCCATGAGATGTAATTCTGAAATGCCACCTGTGGGTTTTCCTGAGATGCATTGGCCTGCTGTGTTCACTGGGCTGGCTAGCGCAGTGGTGTCAGCAAGGCCTTTGCGCAGCTGCAGTATCCTCAAGGAAAGGTGAGAACTCTGTTTTGACATACTAGGGGGGTAGCCCATTAAACTCAAGCTGTACTGATATCTCCAAGTTACAAACAACCCATACAAGAAGAACTGCCATCAAGCCTATTAATTTTTTAAAATTACTGCTGGAAATGATCATCATCATAGAGAAAAGAAGCAAAAGGGGAGAGAGGGAGGCCTCCAAAGCAGGCCTTCCCTTCCTGCCCTGGCCATTCCAAGAGGGAAATTTCTCCCTTATTTCCTTGCTGCAAAGAGGTGGCATTGGTGAGTTTGGGCAGTGGGGGCAGGCTAAAGATATTTGCAGTTTTTCCACTTTCATGGGGTTCCTGCACCCCTAACCCCTGTGAATGTGGAAGGTTGACTATATGTGCCTCAACTTACATGCGGATTTGACTTAGAGCCAGTGTGGTGCAGTGGTTAAGAGTGTGGGACTGGGACTCAGACGATCTGGGTTCTAGTCCCAGCTCAGCCATGGTGCCAACTGGGGGACTTTGGGACAGTCACAGACTCTCAGCCCAACCTACCTCACAGGGTTGTTGTTGTGGGAATAAGATGGAGGAGGAGAATGATGTAAGCTGCCTTGAGCCCTTTGTAGGAAAAAGGCAGGATATAAATCGAAAAATAAATAATAAAGACAAATTTCTATTGTCCCAGGAATGGAACTCGTTTGTAACCTGGGGACTGCCTGTACCAGCTTAATGGCTTCCAAAGAATGCTAGAAACTGTAGTTTGGCAGGAGACAGAATTATATCAGGGATTTCCTAGTCCCTTTTCACAAAACTACAGCTCCCAAGTTTTCCTGTGATGGGAGAATGAATATTAAAACTTGACTGTGTTTAAGGAAGATATGCCCCTAACAATAGCAGGAAAGAAGTCTCTGCTTCTGTCCATCTGTGTGCCTCTGTGAAGCGCTAGCTGATAAAACAGAGGCACTTTTGGGTCAGATAGCTCTGGGGCACTAGAATATATGATTTCAGGATCAGGCCCTCCCCAAATACATATTCACTGGAAGAGGCTTAAAGCTTCCATTTTAATTATAAGTAATTAATCCCAGATAGCGTCAGAAAAACAAGCTTGCAATAAGATACTTAAACATGCTGATTCTTCTCCAGGAGAAAACTGTACTTTTAGACAAGTTCCCATCTGTGCAAATAATAAAATGATGTGGTTATAACTGGCTATGAGTCTACATGTTGAATCAGCCACTAATAAGCATAGAGAGCATAAACTGAAACTATGCCAAACAGACTTCTCAGTTCTCTTAAGTTATAGATTTTATAATACTCAGTTATTGGAAGTCTTTTGCAATAACTTGTGTTATGTGTAATATTAAATGCACAATTTACAAGTTCTCTACAGAAGAAAAAAACTGATCCATTCAAAGCTTTACTAGTTGGCTGGTCCAGAGCTGACATTTTTCACCATTCTAATAAACCAAAGGTTGGAGCTAGATCATCTCATGTAAAATAGAACCACCAAAGTTCAGTTAAGGTGAGCAACAGAGTCCAGTCACTTGAGTGCTGGTTGTGACTGGATGGAGGATTGCAGGTTCAGGGTCTGATTCAGGGTCAAACGTTACACCGGAGTTGTGTTTAATCAATCATCAAACCCTTCTGCACAGCAAAGGGCCTTCACAAGGGAGAGAGAGACAACAGAAAAGGTCTACGAAAAGGACATACTGATTCCTTCCTTCACCTTCTCTCTGCCTCTGGTGCTTTCACCTCAGAGACCCTTCTTTGTGAGGTAAATGCGGATCCAAAACAATAATAGAAGAACAGCTCAGTAGCGGAGGGGATTTCATGAAAAAGGTGGCTGGCCATGGAAGGGTTAAGCACTTCCTATTACATGTGTGTATTCCATGAGCCCTTTTAGCACTGGATGTGGATGCATGTAATGGCTTGTCCTTTTCTCATAAAAAATCTGATGCTATGGAAGCTGCTTTTAGTTGTGCCTACATAGCCCCTTCTTCACACCAGAGGGTAGTCATGACCACTGACTAGTAGTCCTGATGGCTGTGTGCTACCTGCAGTATCACAGGTAAGACCTGTATCAAACCCATATACACCAGTATTTGGGGAACTTGGGCAGAAAGGGGCTGTTGCACTAATGTTGAGCTAGTGGGTTTCCCATGGACGGCTGCTTGGCCTCTCTGTGAACAGAATGCTGGACTAGATGGACCTTGGCGTGATCCAGCAGGGCTTCACTGATGTGCTTGGCAGCTGTTGCCTTCCTTTCGTGGATGATTGGGTGATTTAGAAATGCAAATTCAGTTCCTCCAGCACGACCACCCCCATCAAAATCAGACTTGCTGTGGCTGGCTACCTTAAACATTTTGTGTTCCTTTTTTTAATTTGGGCAGTCCATTCATTGATCTTCCGCATCACATCTGTTCTGTTAGACTTAACTACTGGAGTCATTGCCCTGGGGATTGTGGCTTCCTTCCTATGCACTGCAGAAGGTATATGGCAGTGTTTAATTAGCATGGATGTGATAGGCATCTTATAAGGCACCCCAAGTGTCACTTGGGAATCTGTGTTTGTACCAGGACTGGTGAAAACAGAACTATTTTGACAAGACTAAGATGGAAAGCTGAGCAAGCCAATGTGTTGCTATGCATTTGGATCTGCTATGCAAACTTAGCAGCAGTATTCAGTGTTTCCCACGCACAGGCAAATGGAAGTTATATTGTATGCTTTTGTATTTTCTTTAGACCTTGCCTAATTGCAAGCAAGAAACTATTAAAATGTTGAGGAAATTAATGTCATACGAACACTGCAGCAGAAGTGGAAGCAAAAAATGTGTGATTGGGATCCAAGTAAGCAGTGACATGGAACTGTTAAACATCTTGGTTTTTCACTATAAAATTCAGACAAGTTGGTAAAACAAAGGCAAGAGATAAGCCTGCACTTATTTATTCATTGGGTCAAGGGTAATCTTTTCCAGCAGGTCTCTTGGCTGTTTACTTTTGAGTCACTTGAAAATTGCTGGGGGGCTCAGATGACCATGCAAACACTATTTTTCCTGTTCTATAAATCAAAGTGCAAACATAATTAATGTTAACAGTATTTTAATTCTGCAACAGGATCACTGCTAAAACCAGTGTTGCATTGTGGGAATAATAGATTTGAGGATGAAAAAGGCTCTTTCATGGTTAATATTTTCAGGGAAATCAAATACAGCATAGGTGCAGCTTACTATAAAGAACATGAGTGCTAAGCCAGGGCATTGGAAGCTTGTTTGATAGAAACAGAGAAACAGAGCGAGTCAGAAGGGGTCTCCCAGGCCATCTAGTCTGACCTCCGGCACCAGCCGGCTCCGCTCACGACATGCCCACCATGTGGACGTCCAGCCTATCCTTGAACACCCTCACTGATGGGGCCTCAACGACCTCTCGTGGAAGCCCGTTCCACACCCTCGGGGTCCTGACTGTCAGGAGTGCTTCCTGGCATCCAAATGGAACCTTGGCTCCCTGAGCTTCGCTCCGTTGGAGCGTGTCCTGCCTTCCTCTGCAGGGGAGAACAGGTCTCTACCCATCTCCGTGTGACATCCCCTCACATACCTGTATGTTGCCAACATATCCCCTCTGAGTCTCCTCTTCTCCAGGCTGAAGAGACCCAGTTCCCTCAGTCTCGTCTCATACGGCATCCCCTGCAAACCCCAGCCTCCTCCTTCCTCCCATCCTCCCTGATACCTGGCCCCTCTCTGTAGGAGTCCTGTCAGTCCCTGCAGTATCTCTAAAACCCTGCTTCCAGAGCCCTGATCCTCCCCGCACACTTGTCCAGTGCAGACACGTTACTGTGGGGCCTGAACCCCCCCCCCCCCCCCCCCTTTTAAAGTCTTCTGGACGAAGCTCACTAGAGCATCTCCAAAGGACCTTTTCCCCATCCTCGTGAGGTGTAATCCGTCCCTTGCCAGAAGTCCATTGGCAAGAAAAAGAGTGCCGTAGTCGAGGAACCCGAGGCGTTCCTTCTGGCACCATACCCTAAGCCAGTCGTTCTCCTCGGAGGCCCTCCTGTCCCTTCCTGGCCCAAATCCTCGGACGGGTAAGATTGACGAGAAGGTCACTTGGGCCTTCAGCTCCCTGAGTTTCTTCCCCAAGGCCTCAAAGTCTCTGGTGGTCCCAACCACACCCTGCCTGGCCACATCGTTTGTGCCCACATGGATTACCAGGAGCGGCTGGTGACCCCCGGAGCAAACAAGATGCTCCACTCTGTCCTTCACATGCCGGATGCGTGCGCCCGGCAGGCAGCAAACCACCCTTGTCTCCAGGTTGGGGCGGCACGCCGCCGCCTCAGTGCCCCTCAGCAGGGAGTCCCCAACAACAATCACCCGCCGCCGTACCTTCCCGGTGCTGGTGGGCAGCCCTGCTCTGGCCCTCGCCTCTCTCACAGCGGCCCCCTTGCCGCCTGACGTCCCAGGCTGGGGGTCCTGCTGGTCCCCCGAGGCCTCATCAGCCCCAGCCTCCCCAAGTGGAGCGAACCTGTTTCCCAGCTCCAGATTGGTGCCAGGAGAAGGAGGAGGCCATGCTGGCCTCCTCCTCCTGTGGGTGACATACCTCCATGTCTCCGCAGCTGCTCCTCCCGTGGCCATTCCCTCAACCCTCTGTCCAGAGGGGGGCTGCTCCGGAGGGGCCTGGAGAGCTCTCGTGGCCCTCAGGCACCTCACCTCCTCCTCTAGCAGGGTCACCATCTTGCACCGAGGGCAAGTGTATCCCTGCCTCTCCTGGGGGAGAAGGACGAACATGTCGCAGCTCTCGCAGCGGACAGCAACACCCGTGACTCCCGCCAAGGCCATCTTCTGGTCTGCCATCGGTATCCCTTCCGAGACCTTACCTTGGTCCCCTGCCTTGTTTGTCCTGCAGTTCCTCTCATTCACCCAGTTCTCCCAGACAAAAACCCACACACACACACACACACACACACGCGGAAAACAAAGCACAGCACAGCACAAACAACAAACAAACAATCAAACCTCTGTGTCTCAGGGAAGGGAGTCTCTGGACAGCTCGGGCCGCAGCTAAGGGCCGCAGACAAGGGACACCTTATCAGTCCCTCAGGCCGGTGGCCCCGCCTGTCGGCTTCCTCCTGGCTGCTCTAGCCTCTCTGCCCCCCCACTTCCTCTCCGCTGCTCCTGGCCCTCTGCTCCCCTGCCCAGCTCCTACCTTGCCTTCGCCAGTCCCCTGGCCACTCAGCACTCTCTCCCAGCCTGTGCCTCTGCTGCTCTGCCAAGAGGCCAGAGCCAAAAGGTCTTGATGATCTGGTTCCAATCAAAATGGTCTTGATCTGGATCTTCAGCGATAATAAATCAGGCACAGATATTTTCAGCTCTTCTACCACCTTTCCACAGAATACCTTGAGTGGAGCTCATGGGTGGTTCTCAGTCAGTACTCCAAGAACTTCTGATCTCTGCATTGGCATCTAGAGCATCAGGCAAAAATATTTTCTACCTCTTCTGACAAAGATTCTTCGAAGTGGAAATGGCAAGGTGCATTTCAGTCTCAACACTTGAGGACCAAATTACATGTAAATGCATATAACAAGGTGCATGTGCTCAGCATTTTCTTACCTGCTTCAAATTGCCTTCCAAAATGCTTTTTGACTCATTACAATTTATTTGATGAACGAATAGTTCTAATGCATTTTGTTCCATGTTAAGATGAGCTTTCCTTCATGGCTTCATGCATCTGGCTGTCTGGCTGTTCAACAAAATTGATGTCAGCCATTCTTTTGACACCAGATTGCTGCTTCTTAAAAGAGGACTCCTTTGCAGTGAGCCTATTAAGCAATGAAGGTGGAGAAGATTCGGGCCCTGGACTTCAATGTTAAGAGTTCTGCAAGGTGTGTTCCCTGGTTTTTATGCAAGAGGAAAGGAAGAAGCATGGATGACAGAAGGGTTCCTTTTGAGAGAACAGGTAGACTTAAATGAACTGAATGCAACAAAATACCACACGGATGTGTGCAGTTATTCTTGATGGCCACAGTCAATAGCCATTCCCACAGACCTGGAGTTTGTTAGGAAATGTACAACGGGGTACCTTTATTATTTATTTATTTATTATTTATATTATTATTTAAAATATTTATTTATTTTATTTATTAAAACATTTTTATGCCGCCCCATTCGCCGAAGCCTCGGGGCGGCTCACATCAATAAATTAAAATAATTATAATATAAATTAAAATATAAATATAAAATTAAAATACAACAGTACAGTATAAAATAAGCCGTCCTGGCCAGATAAAACCAATAAAGTTAACAGTTAAAATGCCGCTTGAATAAAAAGGTCTTCGCCTGGCGCCGAAAAACAAATAACGACGGCGCCAGGCGGACCTCTCTGGGGAGCGCGTTCCATAACTTAGGCGCCACCGCGGAGAAAGCCCTCCTCCGAGTACCCACCCTCCTAATTTCTTTCATGGAGGGTTCCCGGAGAAGGGCCTCCCCTGCCGATCTCAAGGGGCGGCTGGGCATATATGGATGCAAGCGCTCCTTCAGGTAACCAGGACCCAAGCCGTTTAGGGCTTTATAGGTCATCACCAACACCTTGAATTGGGCCCGGACTTCAATGGGAAGCCAGTGAAGCTGATGGAGAACTGGAGTCATGTGAACACAACGCCCAGTCCCTGTCAGCAGCCTGGCAGCTCTGTTTTGAACCAGTTGAAGTATCCGGACCGTCTTCAGGGGTAGCCCCACGTAGAGCGCGTTACAGAAGTCGAGACGGGAAGTCACCAATGCATGTGTCACTGTCGCGAGGCAGTCATACTCCAGATAGGGGCGCAGCTGGTGGATCAGCCGAAGCCGGAGGAAAGCGCTCCTCGCCACTGCTGTCACCTGAGCTTCTAGTGAAAGCTCTGGGTCGAGGAGCACTCCCAAGCTGCGAACCTTGTCCCTAAGAGGGAGTGCAACCCCATTCAGAACAAGGTTCAGTTCACCCTCTCCAAAGCCAGAACCACCAACCAACAGGACCTCCGTCTTGTCTGGATTGAGCTTCAGTTTATTGGCCCTCATCCAGCCCATTACGTCGGCCAGGCACCGGTTCAGTACAGCCACTGCCTCACCTGGATTGGTGGAAAACGAGAGGTAGAGCTGGGTATCATCAGCGTACTGATGGTTCCGCAGCCCACACCGCAGCCCAGAAGTGCAACTGCTGTCATGCTTGCCTTGTTATGCTTGTGTCTGGCTATTATAATGGTCTCCAGTCCTGGGCATTGATCAGCCCTTCATTCACTTGTTTCAGGATCAGTCAGTCCCCCATGTCTCCACTGGTCTGGAATTGTGTTCACACCAGCCATCAAAAAACAGACCAGATTTTATGAAGTTGAGTATTTCTGAAAGAAGTCTGCTTGCAGCTCTGGCAAATTCCAGAAGAAGAAGTCACAGTTCCAGGAGACCTGCTGAGCTTTCCTCCATATGTGCCTTGCATATGTCTAACATACGGCAGAGGGGCCCCACAGAGTCAGTGGGAGGATGTGTTGTAAGTATTTTAGACTCTAGTGGTTATAAAAGCACAAATATATATTATGAGGAGTGGTATTACAGCTTCAGGGTCCTTTTAGCAGGAGAACCTGAGCCTGTGCTTCACTGAGCCTCTTGCCTGTTCACTGTCTCAAGCAAGCTTTCTGTTGCATACAGCTCTGTCATATGGCCAGAATCGCAAATGAACTGTGTAATTGGATGGATAGGATTCCGTGATTCTTTCATCCCCAGCATGTACAGATTTTCCACTCCATCAACAGCTCAAAGAGCAGCTGACATTAACCAAGCAAGGAACACTCTAAGTTCAGGTAACATTGGAAGGATTTTCTTGAATATCTTTTTGCTATCTATGAGCACATTTAGTGAGGCAGGCAATTCTCTTGGTAAACTCAAGGCAAAGAGCATGACCAACGAGTTCTCGTTTCCAGTTGCTTCAAAACTCTCTGCCATCATATGTTGCTTTTTAATAACTATATTTCTGTACATTTTATGAAGACAGTTTTTACTAATAATTCATTCACCTTACTCAATTTTTAGTTTAATGTTTTCAAAATACGATGATCCACATTGTTTTATTTCTAAACTAAAGGCACCTCAGTGTTCCTTTTAAATTTAAACACAAGTTTTACCCCGAACACAGGAAAATCAAAATAAAAACTGATGGTGCTTCTGGACAGATTTGTTACTCTGCCATTTCCCTGCCTTAAACATATTTTTTTTGAATATGTGCATGCATATGACATACTTTTCCATTTGAAACCCTCATATTTTCCCATTGCTTCTTAAGTCTTTTTTTCCTTACTAGAAAAAAGATCTGTTACAAAGAAAAGGATGGAATTGGCTCAGGAAGCCTTTTGATTTCTAGTAGCAGGAACCCTCCTTCTGGAGGCATCCACAGACTCCTTGGATAGGCTGCAGCCATAGTGAAGTGGGTATAATTGGCAGTACATGAGCCTTTTTTCCCTTAAGTGCTTGCTAACAGGGCAGGGCCCCAAGTAGAGGATGCCATGGAGAGGGACATTGGTGACTGGGATATTGGTAAGCTGGGCTAAATAGAGGACACTCGTGCACAAAAGGCTGGGTCACCAGAATCATAAGGGTTTCCAAAATGAATTCAGTTTGGTGATATGGTATGGTGGGAGCTTCTGCTGAGAGCTGGCAACCCCAGCAGACCAACTGCAGAAAGGGTGCTGAGGTAGGGAATGAGAATACAAGAGGCAAGAGGGATGGAGTGGGGAAGTAAGTCATGGCAAACTACAAAAAGGGAGATACTGTCTCCCAGTTTTACTCCCGTTTCAGAACAGTTGCAGTGCACTCCCTCCCCCTGGGCCCAGTGACTTCCTTCCCTGCCTTTATATTTGCACAGATGTTCCAAACAGCATTAAAAAATCTTAATAGCGCAGCTGCACAGGATGGAGCAAATGCAGCAACTGCACCAGTAGTACTTACTCCCCCATGGACTCTGTCCACTTCATCCCATGCAGCAGCCTTCTCAGCTCTGTTTTTAAAACTGCCAGGGAGATTTGCACAAATCTGCTGAAATTCTGTAAGTGTTTGGAAGCTGCAAAAAGTGGGGGTTTTTGCAGCTTCCAAAATAACTCCCATTTTTGGAATGGCTGGAGACTCAGGGTAGGATTGAAAAGTGCCTGGCAAGTCTTGAAATGGGAGCGACTGGCTTTCCACCGCTTGCTGCAGTTACTGCTCTGGTTACTGTGCTTCAGGGCATTTGCACGCATCTCCCTCACAGCAAAAATAAACAAGCAAACAGAATCCTGCCTGGGCCAGAGCAGATGGGGCTCCAGTGGGGTGGGTATCCCATGTTTGCCATTCTGTTTGGTTAGCCTCTAAGGATCCTTAAAAAACCTGTCAGGTGTATTTGCATGCGTTTAAAGGCTCAGCAGCAAATAGAGGGGAGATTTGCATAACTGCAGGAATAGACTAAGAGTGCTAATGGACGGGACTTTACTGAACCTTCCCCCTGCCTCATTCATGGAATGTTACAGTGTGGATGTGTGGCGCAGACAATGTCGTCTTCCACTTGGATCCCTCCTCATTTTCCACTGCTGCTTCCATCTTTTTTTCTTACTGGAAAACATTGATTGATAAAAAGATGAAAAGTTGCACTGGCTGTGCTTAGAACCCCAAGCACCCTAAGTCAGCATGAACTGTTCTCCCTGTGGGTATCTGATGGTGCTCCAAGAGTCTTCTCTTCTCAATCCTACCCACTCTTCAGGGACACAAATGTAAGTACCTGTGCTCCTAGTTCTGTGGCTTGCAACCAATCCTTCGGACTGGGACGGTAGTTCTGTTGGGGGAGGAGTGGTTAGGCAAGCAGCTACACTTCCATCAGTCAGAGAGGGGTGAATTTAGAACTTGTACTCTTACGTTATCTTGGATTTTCCTGTAGTGACTCACTGCTTTTTCTGTTCTTTTATTTTTTCCTCTGGTGAGCTGCTTTTGCTCTAGTAACCAGACCTGAATTCTTTACCTATCTTTCTTTACTTCTCAGTCCAGGCACTGAACTTTATTTCACCCATGACCTCAGCTGCTTGTAAAAGATACATGTGCCTGATGCATCTGGGTTTTGTTAGTTGGCATAATGTAGTGTTCATCACAAATTATGGAAGAAAACACAGAATTTTGTCCATCACAAGGCTCATTACACTTGAAGTTCATGCAAACTTCAAAGAACTGAAGTATAATGAGAAGGGCTGTTACTGCTGACCACATAACAGAGATAGCCTGAAAAGTTAGACAACACTCTGTTTAGATCTCTAACCCATGAAAAGGTTTGGTTGCACATAGACTAGAATATGAACTTGGGAAACAGAATCCCATTAACCTCTATTAACAGTAAACAAAGACATTAATATTCAGATTATATCACAAGATAGCAAGAAGGCATTAATAAGGTAAAAAGAAAAGGAGAAAACACAGATTTTTGAGGGAAAACACCCACAGGTTGAAAAGTCATGTAACGATTTCAGGATTTGACACCAACATTAAATGTTTGATGGTGTAACAAATGCCCAACCTATTAACTATTATAAAAATTCCCAGCAGCAATTAATTATTACCACATACCACAACCTATATGGTGGTATATGATCTGTTGTCACATGCTCTGGTGTCACATGGCATCTGCTGAATACGCTTGATACCAGATTTTAGATAAATAATGTTGAATATCAAATGCTGAATATTGAATCACATAAGATAGTAGGGAGGCTATACAAGATGTAGAAATTGTTTTTATCTCTGCATACTACTAAGTAATTAGGTCAACTTAAAGCAGGCTTCATGCTTGTGTGAGGGCTCCAAGAGAGTGTTTTCAGAGCTGTTTTCCAGCTTATCTCCCAGTTTCATGTTCAGCGAAAAACCAAGTAACACAGGCATGCTTTAGTCCCTCAAGATGCTTTAGTCTGAACTCTCATCTTCCATCAGTACCAACTGTGATGTTCTGGGCTGATGGAAGTTGTTGGCAAAAGCATTTAGAGGCCCACAACTTGCAACTCCCCAGTTGTTACACAATGTCAGCTAAACTACCCCAGGCAGGATCCGAAAGGAAACTATTACCTTCTCCTGCCAAACCTTTCAGAACTACAGAGGCACGGAGTCCAAGTTAAACCGCCAGCAAAGGCTACACACATGACTCGCTTAACCACTTCTCTCCCCTTTGATCTTCATCCAAACATGGAGGGGTTTCTCGCTGGTTCTCCACACCTGCTCTTGCGCGTGTTGGAATAAGGTGCCCATCTGGAGTGCAGCAGGCCTTCCCTTCTTCTAATGAATTCCCTGCCGTGTGTTTGTGAGCTGGTGGGGAGAGGAAGGGAGGGCCGTCAGGACATCTTGCCAATGAAAAGGAAGAACTGAAACAAAAAAGTTCCTTCTGGCATGCAAAATTGAGACATAATCATTGCTCTCCATAACTTGCTGTTATTTCAGGCCGGGTGCAGGCCAAATGAATGGAGGCTTCTTGGCGGCAGAACAGAACACCCCCCCTCGCTGCCCCGTTCCTTCCTCCCCATGGGAGGGGGAGTGTGTGCGAGGGGAAGATTAATCCGCTGTCGGTGTGGATTAATGCTGACAGGAGGGCCTGGACCGTGACAAGATAGATGACAGGGTCACATGGCGATGCGTGAGAACCCTGCCCCCTTGGTGCGAGCGCTGTTTTCCTTGCGTGACTGCCCGCCTTCTCCCTTCCAGCCGGCTTTCACCTTGTGACAGACTCCCCTTAACTCTTTTGTTTCCCACCCATAAGAGAACAGAGGCAGTCGGGGAATGAGGAGCAGCTGCCGCAAGCCTCATAAAAAATTACGTGCTGAGAAGTTGGGCTTCTTCACTGGTCGTTTTACCTGGATTAATCCTCCTTGACCATAAAATACACAAAAATATAATAGCCCAAGAGGAACACACACTTTTGGGATGAAGCAAGTGCACTGAAGAGTGCTCTCTGCTCAAGTTCATATTCCCCGAGAGTAGTTAAATGTATGTGTGTCTGCGTTTATATATCCTTTCATAAACATGCACATTTATAGATAGTGACCATGATAGGAAGCCAGCATAGAGCAGGGCCTAGCGCCTGAAGCTTATTGTGCATATCTGGACCTCTCAGTTTAAATCTATACCACAAGGCTGTTTTAAGGGTTAAAATCTCATCCTCAGCAGGGAAGAATAAAACGCTACACAGAACATTGTATCTCTTCCAAGCCCCTGTTGCTAGATAGTTCATCCTGGAACTCTGCAACTTTGGTGCATGCTCTTGATGCTCATGCATGGAACCACTTAGAGAGGCTTTCCCTGCTTGTGGAAATCCCTTCCACAAACTAAAACCTGTGCTTAAGCATCTTTCAGAAGCTTTAGATGTCAGACTGGCTTTTGTTAATTGGAACGAAAACTGGTGAGGGGTCACAGTTTGTTTTATGCTTGTCAGTTATAATTACTTAGTCAAGTTTTGGGATGGAGGGACAAGTTAAATACACATATCTATACATGTGTGCAGCACAAGTTCCATAGGGAAATCTTCTTAAACAAATGAATGTGACTGGGGTTGTATAGTCTTTTGCATAGTTCCGATTTATTTCAGTGCTGATTGTACAAGAGAACTCATGGTATTGTGCTCAAACTCTCTAGTGCTCTTGCTACTGTATATAGCTTGTCCATTCAATTACCTGCTGCGCAGATGTATAGAGCTGAAAGAAATTTACCTATATAATTGTCCCTCAAAATTCTCTACTACCATCAATTATTGAAATCTACCAAATGTTGGATGTGGTTTTTATCACATTTGACCAAAGATAAGCTTTCACCTTTGACACCCATTTGACTTGCATGTTACTTGACAGCCACTTGCTATCCATCAGTATTCAGCGTCTACTATGTAGTATTTAACTCAGCTTTGATAAAACTGGTAGAAATGGGAATTTCTCTATTTCTTCCATTTCTAATCTACCCAATAAGTAATGTTCTCTTGTCAAATTACAATAGTAATAATATATAATAAGCATCATTTATACATTGATAATCTCTAATGTTAATAGGTTGCAGTCTTTGATATTATTTGTTGTGCTATATTTCAGATTAATAACTTTGCAAAGTGAAACCAACCAATTTTTACTGAGACAGTAAAAGATAAAATGTCTTATCTTTTTCCTTACCAGGGTTATGAGATCTGTATTTTTTTGTATATAATCATTCCCTAAATACGTGCTGTAGTTTATTTAGTACTTCAAGGCATATGCTGTTATTAAATGAGACCAATTTAAAAAGAGGGAGAAAAGAGGTCAG